CACACACACACACACACACACACACACACACACACACACACAGCTTTTACCTTTCTTTCTGCTCATTTCTGGCTCCTGTGCCAGTCACACAAGTGCACATTATTTCTTTGTGAATTCAAGCACTTGTGCAAAACCCACATCCATAAATAAACACAAAGCCACACAAGGATGCACGCGCATTAACACACACACAACACACAAATGGTTGTCTTTAGCCGGCTCTCTCTCATTGACATGGGGCAGAGCACACTGGGTCCGTCTGTCTAATGGTTTGTGACAACCTGGCCAGCCTCTTTCTCTCCATCTCTCTCCCTCCAACCCCTTCCTCTTCTCTCCCCCTCTTCTTTTTTTGCCTCCTTCTTTCTCCCAGGTAGATAAATAAACATTGAAAGTGCTCCCTCTCACTCACGGCTGAATTAGTCCAAACTAACTGCCCTGTCTCTCTGCAAAAACCAAACGCGCGCACGCACGCACGCACGCATACATACACAGAGAGCGCTAACAGGCCTGTCTCTGACTGCATCACTGTTCCACAGAAGGCTTCTCAAATATTTAACAGGCAAGGGGGAACATTTTCTCCCTTTCTCGATGTCTCCCTCTCCCTTTCTGTCTTTCTTTTCGTCGTTCTGTGCACCTGCTTTCTCATCACACACATACACCAACACATTGCAAACGTCACAGGGAAAATTTAAGCTATACTGATGGTTGCTGGGGGCGCTGTTATTCCGTCAGGGTCGTATGGTGAAGCTGAAGCAGAAAGGGGGTACATCAAAAATGCATTGCTGCTAAAGCAATGAATCTAGGCTCTGGAGCCCTGGCGAGGTTGGTTCCCCCTGTTAGACTCTGGCTCTGTCACTGCTCATGCTGCGCCTTTTTCTGCACACACACATACATGCAGGTCCATCCCTTGCTGTAATCCTTTGAGGATTACAGGAAGTTTTATGAGAGACTCAAGACTGGCGAAAAGAGATGAGAATACTGACACTAAAATCATTGGAGCTTATGTAAAATTTAAAGGAGGATCTGCTTTTTTTATATATTTGCGTTGTTTCTTTTTTAACAACTTTGGTTAAATTTGGAAAGTTTTTGTCTGTTAAACTAAGGATTTCTCACAAAGTTATTTGCCAGGTGGTGGATGCAATAAAGTCAAACAAGACAAGAAACAAGAGCAGACAATCAGGTGATCAGGCAGATAAAGAAAACTATTAGGGAGGGGAAATCAAGGTTATTGTAACCACTGTCATTTCAAAAATATAAAATCATTACAATGACTACAAGTCCTTTATTCAAAGTATTTATAAAGTATAGGCACATATATATTTCAGCAAAGAATAGCACTTCCTTGTGATTCTCTTTTTCATGTTAAAGATGACAAGCTTTGTCTTAACGTAGCTTGTTCTTCAAGGTGAAAACAGCTTTATGTATAAAATATAATTTTAGGATAAGTATTTCAAAAGATCGCTCACCTATTAATACACTATATTGTGATTTAGTCACCAATAACCGAAGCTCAGAGAACAAATGCAACAGTACTGCACCGCATCCGAGCAGCAGCTATTGTCTGAGGCAGTGAAATGACACAAACAGCTTGGAAAATGAACAGCTGTGTGTCTTAATTGATCACACAACATCAAGCACGCAGCTTGTATTGTGCGTTGCCTCTTCACATGTTCATCAAAAGTTTGCTCACACCACAACAGCTCGAGAAGGGTGTTTTCTGCAAGGTCACAGGTACTGGGTTGGAATTTGTAGAACTGGTAATCAGTCAATCTGAAGTGCAGCTTTAACTTTCTGGCATGAGGTGACAAATTACTTTGGAAGAAAATCTGCAACCTAACTTTTATTCGTACATACTGAAATATACAAAGATTACACCTGTTGGGTTTTTTTGCTTTTAAACTTAATCAATGAAGCTCTTAAACCCCATGTGTGCTATTAACGACAGCACACCTGATTATTTTTGTTTCAGTCCTCTTTATTTAGCCAAATAAATTTCAAAATGCACTGTGCAGAATTAGCAACCAGCTGGAGATGGTAGTTCAGCTGCTAAATGGTTGCATGGAGTATTCAGAGATATGGTCGTGCATGCTCTGTATTGTATATGTATGTATGTGCGCCAAAAAACAAAAGAGCAGAAAGTTTGTCATCGGAGTTTTAGGATGAGAAGAGCTTTTCTACCTGAAAATGGTTTTACGCATCCAGCTATGAACTTAGGGGTAAATTTAATTGACTGTTGCATTTCTGTAAATGCTAAAGCTACTTACCCAAGTTCCACAAAAAATTGGAAGAGAAGTGGAGCATGAGGTAGAGAAGATGCAATTAAATTTTTCTGCAGAACAAAACTGCAAAACGAGGAAATGTTCTATGTTGGGCTCTCCGGCTGACTCTGAAGTATAGTCTCTGTGTTTAAAGCATTGATAAAATTATGTCATGACATTCAATTCAACAGCAGCAGCCATCCCTAGAGATGTTGTCCCAGTTACATAGAAAAAGGCTGTAGACCTTCAATGGATTTACCTTGAAGTAACATTTGAGTAAAATCAAAATCTCAACATAAAAAAAAAACCTACATGGTGAAACACCACTGGTGTTAAGAACCGACCCATCTTTGTAGTTTGGGAGGACATCATTACAAGGTATTTTACCCAATACCTGTATTTTTCAGCTGCTGTAGCAAGAGCTTCATCTCTGTTTACCCCGTTCCTTCTTGCTCTACTTTCTTCTTGCATACTTCTCTGAGATTAATCATCATCCACACTGACATCTTTTAATTGTTTTCACCTGCTAATTAATTGTGCTGCCAGTAAGTTAGCTGTGCTTTTAAGGAGTGCCTTGATCTCAACAAAACTAACCTGGATAAGTCGACAAAAATAAAAATAAGTCAAACAAACGTTTCTATTTAAGAAAGGCGGCATCCTACAAATTGGCCAAACCCTTTAAATCTCTGGCTGTGACTCTCAGCAGGCCTATCTCTTTCAAGGTCTTGCTGGATAATAGAAAATGTATGAGATAATCCAATTCAAATGGCTCTGGCCACTTTTGGTCACGGTGGGGAGCAACACTCGTGCACTCTCAGATTGTTGTCCATTCTGCTATTGTGATGAGATACATGGCGCTGCACAATAACAAAGTACCATAACACACATTATCACAACAATAGTGCAACATTAGAACAGCATCTGGAAATCTCCCAGATTCACATAAAGGGATTTATGCCACATGCAAGAAGGAATGTATGAGAAGCACACACACAGGCACACATGTGCACTTATACACACCAGCTAGATTTAGGTCACAAACTCACACACAATCACATACAAGCAGAATGGCTGCCCATTGAATACAAGGTTAGGCAGCCCCCATTTTTCTATTTACTTGCTGTCATGCACACACATACACGTACACACATCAATGGAAGCTAGATATGGGGCACACATGCGCAGCCAGATTGGTTTTTCTATTCAGTAAAAACCCATCCTTTTTCCTGTTGCTGGCTTGCACACAGGGCTGCACTTGCACACACACAAATACTGAGCCCCTTTCTGGCTCCCAGGCCCATATTATAAAGCTCGCAGGTGAGGGGCTTTGTTCACCCCGAGCAGCTAATGTGCTCAGTGCAATGGGCTCTCCTCCACACACACATTCTCCGACACACACATAGAGTACACTGGCTCAATGGTCCAGAAGGAGCACCTTATCTAATCCCATGGTTTATCCTTCAAAAGACTTTCTTTTCCTTTTCTTCTTTGTTCCTCCTCTCTCTTCATCTCTGTGTCTTTGAGGAACTCCGTGTCAGTGAGAAGCGCTGATGGTTGACGACACTCTCATTCCACGGGACAGAATCTATCTCCTTGGAGACTCACACACAGAAATACACGCACCCACACAGCCTTTGAGGAAGAAGCGACTTATGCATCGAGCACATATACTGCCCACAGAAACTTTAAAATGCAAGCTCGGGTCCGTACACACACACGCACCTCATATACATGCGGTCCGTACTCACACCGAGCACATCACAAGTCCCTGCACATAAACCCCCACACACTCACTGTCTTACCGTTGCGTCCCCTGTGGCGTACTGTGATATGTGTAGTGACTAACACTTCCTCAGCCATACCACACACATACAGACACACGTACACATAAGATTTGCATCCAATTTACATGTAGACTTGTAGTCACCCCCGCTCAGTTACTGACAGTTTGTCAGACTCAAACTTGCCCTTGGGTTAAATCTATCTTCCACTGCCACTGCCACCCACTCCACCTCTTTTTCTCTCCATCTTTCTTCCTCTCCATCTTTATGTCTCCCTATCAAGCTCCCATCTTCCACTCTCTCATCTCCTCTCTCTTTTATCACCACTTCTCGCTTATCCCATTGGGATGTGGTTTGCATGTTTTTCTTGTGCAGGACCCTGAACTGTCCACCTTGCCTCAGGCAACATTTTTCTGTACATTAAAGCTGCACTACATCAGGTTATATGTTTGTGCTTTGACCTATATGACCTTGTATGGCTTTCTGTAAAATATCAGCACAGCTTTGGGT